TGAATTTTGCTATGAGAAGCTGAGGATCAGAGCCACAATCAGCTCCAGGTCTTGTTTTTGCTGACTGTATGAGCTTCTCCATCTTTAGCTGCAGAGAACATAATCAATCTGATTTTGGTATTGCCCATCTGGTGATGTCTATGTGTAGAGTCGCCTCTTGTATTGTTGGAAGAGTGTTTGTGATGACCAGCTTGTTCTCTTGACAAAACTCTCTTAGCCTTTGCCCTGCTTCGTTTTGAACCCCAAGGTCAAACTTAGCTGTTGTTCCTTTTATCTCTTGACTCCCTACTTTAGCATTCCAGTACCCTATAATGAGAAGAACATCTTTCTTTGGTATGAGTTCTAGAAGGTGTTGTAAGTCTTCATAGAATTGGTCAATTTCAGTCTCCTCAGCATTGGTGGTTGGTGCATAAACTTGGATTATTGTGATGTTGAAAGGTCTGCCTTTCCCTACATTCATTATATATTCCATTATTGAATCTTTGCTATTTCCTGATATAATCATTGTGTATATTTTAATTCTGGTTGTTTGAGAAAATTTCTCTTATGTGTAGCTTGGCGTAGGTATGATATAATCAATCCAATTTGTGTCAAGACACACAATTATCATAGTTCAAAATTCCCTTATGGGTATGTCTCCAAACATGTATGAGTTCATGTATGTTCTATGATAGCATACCTGGTAACAAGTATTCTGGCATTTATGTCTCTTCGTTCTAAAGTTTACTGTTCTTTCTCATGCACTGTTACCTGCTTTTAGAATAGATTGATTCTGTTGCCTCCTTTTTGGAATAGTTTTTACAGGTTCTTTAGGGAATTTTAGTAGTGCCAGAAAACACAAAGGGAGAAAAATGATGAGATGACAGGAAAGAGGCAGTTCCTTTAGTGTAAATTGAAATGACAGGTACACGAAAAATACAAAAAGGAAAGAGGCATCCTCCTGCCCAAGAGAAACCAAAACAAAAGAAAAGTAAAAGTTTTGTTTAGCAGTTCTGTAACAGTACTAATTCTTTTTTGTTCTTTTTTTCCCTTTCATATATATGCATGTTTTTCTTCCTAGCTTGTTGAAGAATTTTAGCTACTTGAGATCTGACACCTTTCGAAGTCCTCGGAAAAGAACTTTTTCTTCAACTAAAGATTTCAGTATGATATTACTTTTTTATATTTATAAAATATAAGAGCATGGACTCATAGCATGGACTGAGTTCCTACTCCAGTTCTCTGAAGTCGCTGGCCACAAGGACTGGTGAAATGTCAGGAAGAACAACCTTCAGAACACGGCCAAAGAGCCCGAAAAACCCACAACAACCATGCTTAATTCTATTTGCTTTTCAATGAAAAGGCACTGAAAATATCAAATTATATATGTTGTAAGCCACCTAAAGACAACCTTAGGTATGGCTGTGGAGCCAGAAGTTGGGAGTTTGATTCTCCCACTGTGCCTCCATGACAGGAGATGGACTTGATGATCCTTAGGGTCCCTTCCATCTCTGCAATTCTATGATGATGATTATTATTATTATGATGATGATGATGATGATAAAGACAATCTTGTTGCTTAAAATTCTTTTAACAAAATAGCAGAAGGAGTAAATAGGCACTCTTAAGGGCTCTTAAGTGCAGAAAAGAGCAATATGGTAACTGTAACAAGAATCCCCTCTCATATCTGCACTGAATGTCAGCTGATCACTGCTGTGAGGGACTTTCACAGTTCCTCATAACACTGTCAGCTGATCACTGCTGTGAGGGACTTTACTCCACAGTTCCTCATAACATTGATATTTAGCAGTGAAATCTAAATTTATGCTCATTCCAAAACCAAGATGCTAGACTAATGTCCAAAGATGGTGTTAATCATGTAGCAGATCTAGGTACAGATTATCACAGTTTTGCCACTCTCATTAGCTGGACATTCAAATATTTCTTCTTATGGAGAAGATAATATAGCAATAACATTAATATTCTATTAACTCAGATTGATGATGATGTTTTTCTGTTAGATGTTTAGTAACTGTTAGATGTAAATTATTTTGCGCCTGAACTAATCTAATCAAATTAGAATTTTTTTATGGCTGCATTTGTCTAATTGTATTACTTAATAGATTAAAATGTGTGTTTTATCATAATCATCCTGAACACACTGATCTCATCTGGTTTGAAAATTTGAGCAGGGTGCATTCCGGGATAGTACCACGGATCTCCAGAGAGAACTAGGAAAGAATCCTGCCTGAAATTTAGAGAACGGTTGCTAGTCAGAATTCACAGTACAGAGCTAAATAGATCAATGACTGACTCAGTATAAGGCAGCTTCTTACGTTCTCATGTTAAGAAATTCAGTAAGGAATGTATATGATCTGTTAACACTTTTCACCAGTCAATATGCTATAAAAATAATACTAACATGCTACTAGCAGACTAGAATTGTGTGAAAGGTATTTCTTAATCCAGTTGAATTCTAATTACTGTATTCATAATTTTGTATAAGTCTCATCTCTGAGCCTGAGTTCAACAAGAGAGGATACTGATCTAGAAGGATCATCTTCTGAAAGGACAAAAGGTGCTATTATTTGTACACTGCAGTTGGGTGCCCATACCAGTGCTGCCCAAACAAAGGCTTGGATTCTTCAGAGATTAATACTGAAAAGTAAAGATGTTCTAGGTGCTCCACAGTCTAAACAGGTAGGGAGAGATCTAAAACCTGTTGAGAAATAATACACCATTAGTCAATGGTTTTGGTATATGACAAGTAAGATTTTTTTCAATCTTCAGCAGTCTAGTGCTTCCTGGATCAGTGTGTGTGTAGAAGACAACTATACTTTCAATTTCACAATTCCATTATATTACTTTGATAATGTTCTACAAGCAGCCATCAATAACAAAACCATAATTTCTTTTAAAATATGGGACTTGTCAGCACATAAAGAAGAGCTGCATTAGTTCTACCAGGTACATGATTGTGATATGCACTATATTCAGGAAACAGATAGAGAAAACCACCAGTGATAACCCAAAATATCCAGCTGACACTGTTTATCATGAATTACTACTGCAAAAAGTCTGTAATCTAACCAAGGATTATAAGCTATCTAAAGCAATAATTGTCCTTTTGCAAAATCACAAACTTTTTAGGACAACACGAGCTATCTAAAGCAATAATTGTCCTTTTGTAAAATCACAAACTTTTTAGGACAACACGGATGACAGAAGATTCAAGATAATGGTCTATTCTGGCGCAGTGTACTGGCTCCTATTTTACAGCTTGAATTTTGCTATGAGAAGCTGACAACACGGATGACAGAGGATTCAAGATAATGGTCTATTCTGGGGCAGTGTACTGGCTCCTATTTTATGCCAACAATAAACCTCTTTCTCACTGCACCAAAAGTCTTATTTATACTGGCAAGCTCACACGTTGCTCAGTCAGACAGCTTTCAGATGGTAGAGCATCTTCTAACAGATGCATCAGAAGAACTTGGTACATGTTATGCTAGAAATCAACTAAAATCCAACCCTACTAAGAATGAAATATGTGCCTTCCATGTGAGAAACAAGCAGGAATCTCAGAAACTTCAAGTTATCTGGAAGGGCATCCAACTTTCATTGTTTTGTCCCCAAATAGCTAGGTATTATTTGGATCATATGCTGACCTATAAGAAATGCTGCCAAAATACAAAGCAAAAATACAAAGCAAAAATATTACTTGAAAACTATGAGGAACCAGTTGGGACACACAGTCACGAACACTGTGCTTTGGCCCTATGCTACTCTGCAGGTAAACACACCAGCCTCATAATCAGCCCGTGCAAAACAAGTAGATGTAGCACTCAGTGAAAGCTGTAGAATCATTACTGAATGCTTGAAACCAACCCCTATTAATGAAATCAACTGTCTAGCCAAAATTGTACCCACTGATATACACAGAGAGGTAAAAATTAACAGTGAAAGACTCAAAGTTTCTGCATCAAATGCACGTCCAATTTTTGGCTACCACCCTGCCCCTCCCAGATTAAAATCAAGAGGAATTTTTTTTCAGAACATATGTGAGTCTTGAAGGAACAGGAGAGAATGCCTGGATTATAATGTGGAAAAAAATAACTGCCCACCTCTTAAAATGGATAGAACCCCAGGAGACTCTAATCCCTGGTCACATAGAAAATTCCTTGGGATTTACGTCATAGGCTACAAAGTTGACAACAAAAGTGAACCTAAGAAAATGGAGTGGTTTGTACCAACACAGTCCTTTTTGAGTGTAAAGAGCAGGCAATTTCAGTCAGTGTACTCTGTGCTTCTCAAATATGTGCTATGGAAGACTTGATGTTAGTTGTGCCAAATGACCTTGATACATGGATGAAAGACTTCTGGTATATTTATTGTACTGTTGTACTCCTGATGTGAACAAAGAAGAAAGAAAGTTTCACAGTTCTCTGAATTTTGCAATGTAGTTCTAACCAGAAAAACAATCAAACACATATATTTCCAGACAATCCCATTAGCACGCTTCCCTTAACCTGGCAACCAAAATACAGTGAGATTGAATTAAATGATTAAACAGTTTCTAGGTGTTATAACACACAAAGCCCCCTTCCTGAGACAAGTTGGCTTTCTTACAGTGCTGAACATTTAGCCCATTCTGCCCTGTAAGTGCCAGTATTCATATCCTCAAATGAACATATGAATGAGCATAGTCATTGTCTGGAATCAAGCTATTAAGAGTTTGTAAATATGGAGAATTTCTGAGTATACAAAAATTAAAAATTAATTTGGGACCATATATTTGACTGCCAAACTCATAGACATTTGGCATTGAAAAGAAAACAAATTCTACCATTTGAAGAGTTTGTTGGCATGGAATTCATTAACTGCTAACCAAATATTTCTGGGCAAACCTGGAGAAAAAGACATTTTGAATCCGCACAATATCCAGAGTAAACATTGTCCCCAGAAAAAACAGTCTTAGGCTGGGATGTCTATAGCTGGGCTGCTGGAATCTCACCCTTAGCAGCAGGCATTTGGTCAGCTGATGAAGAAACTTTGCTGCTGGATTTGGCCTGTGATTCTCTGGAAAAAGAATTTTTTTTATTCAAGGCGACACCTACTGCTGAGAAAGTCTTATCCCCACAACTGAGCACAATCTGGGAACCTCTATTCAGTCTTGTGCTTTCAGGCTGTCAGGGTCTAGACTCTAAGATCTGCGAAATCTGGCAATCGCTGGAACACCCATCCAATGAAGCCATGACGGGAGCAGAAATTCTCATTTTTCATTACAAAAAATTGGATGAGATCACTTGGGAGTGGGTAGGAGATCGTTTTGTTCTGGAAGGATATTTCTGAGCTTGTATGCATCCTATGAGCGGAACATTTTCCATTGCAGTCTCTCACTTAAGGTTAAACATGTACTTCTAAACCTGAGGTGGATAGTCCAAACGTACCACAATAAACAAACCAGCACTTTCAATTTCAGGCTGTTTATACAATCTGAGGGCTATTTTTATATACATTTGTCTTTGGTTAAATATGCTGGGTTGCATAGATATTCCACATGCTAGTAATGTTCACTCCATTATTCATGTGTCACTGGTAACTTTGTAGAAGAATGTGACATCTTTATTAGACCACTAAAAATAAAATAATTCATGCAAGCTTTTGTGGAATAAAAACTTTGTGTAATCGTAACTGAATTCCACTTAATCACATCAACAAAGGTTACAAATATTGGTCATGATGTGGTGGCAACCACACAATCCAAATAAGCAGACTTTTGCTAAGGCTAGTCACCTGACTGGATTGTGGGCTAAGGGCTGTCCAGGTTTTCTTGGTTGGGTAGCTACAGGGGTAGCTATGGAAATATCTGTCTATACAGCACACTGATAATTGTTATTAATAATAATTACATGCTGTTAAGTTGTTTCTGAGTTATTTTCTGTGGATAATTACAATATTAAGATGCTAGCTTTGTATCCAACAGTTTTTCATAATATATTTTATCTTTTATTTGTAATGTTCAAACTTTTAGGTGCTACTTTTTATTGATGATCTGAATATGCCAATACCAGAAGAATATGGATCCCAGCCACCACATGAGCTAATTCGCCAGTTTCTGGATTTGGGAGGATTTTATGATACTCGACACCTTGAATGGAAGGTACTGAATAAAATGGACAAGATTACGTTCATTAGTTCTAATCCTTCCTTGAATATTTAATCTAAAATATTAACAATAATGTTACTATACTGTGAGTATTCTTATTTTGTAGGTAGAGGTTGTTACATTAGATATACTGGAGCTAACTGATTTTTAAGCATTGTTTAGCCTATATTTTATTTTATTTTATTTTTTCTTAAACACACCCTCTTGCACTTCAGTATAAGTGCTTATATTGGCCAGAATCCTGTTGTGCAGTGCCATATGTGTAAAAGCTGATGAAGTAACCATCTCTGTCCTTTTTATTTAACTATTTTATTTTATCTTTATCCCACTTTTTTCCCTTAGTGGGAAGCCAAGGTGATGTACAACTTTTTTTCAAATCAATCATTAGTTCAAACAAATTAATTAAGATTAAAAGCTATAATATATACAAATTTAAAACATGATTTTAAAACTATGTATTTTAAAAGATCTCCCACCTCAATTACTTCCTTACTCCCTAAAGAGGTATGTTTTCATCTGCTGGTAGAAGGAAAGGAGGTAAAGTGCCAACCACACCTCCCAAAGGAGGGAGATCCATAATGTAGAGTCAGCCACAGAAAAAGGCTTCTCTCAGGCCTCACCAGACATGCTTGTGAGAGTGTTGGAACCAAAAAGGGCACTCCCATGAATATGTTAATCCATGTGGAGTCTTATACAGGGAGATACTGCTTTCTGATAGCCTACATCTAAATGTCTTTAAAGGTCGTGTCCAGCACTTTGAATAAGGCCCAGAACCAAACTGGCAGCCAATTAAGCTATTGAAAGGTGGGAGCGTTAGACAATCATGGTAAACAACCCCAGTAACAACTATGACTGCAGCAGTTTTGCCCCAGTTTCTAAACCGTCTTCAGTGGAAATCCTGCATAAAACACATTGGACTAAACCAAATGGGAGATAACCCGGACATGCATCACTGCAGCCAAGTCAGACTTTTCAAGGAATGAGTGTAGTTGGCACACTAGCGTTAACTTGCAAACACCGTTTTTGCCATCTGAGACCTGGACATCCAGCTCAGAGAAGAATCCAGAAGTACATCCAAGCTATGCACCTGAGTTTTCCAGAGCAGTGCAACCTCATCAAGCACAAGTTGAATTCCTGTTCCCTGATCCACCTTTTGACTGACCAGGAGCACCTCTGCATGCCTGGATTAAGTTTCTATTTGCTTAACCTCATCCAGTCTATTAGCAGCTTCATGCACTAGTTTAAGAACAAGAAAGCTTCTTTGGAATTAGGTGGAAATGATAGACAGAGGTGAGGATCCTTTCCAACCTAAGGGATCCTTTGGAGACTCTGGGATGTGGGGGAAGTCTTTAATACCAAAAATTGCTGTTGTAGGTCCCATAAGCACCACTTTGCTTGTAACCTGAGATAAATGTGGTAGTATTATAGTTACAGCCTCTTCTTACTTTGCAATAATGGCTATTGTAGAATTTGCTCATAATTTGCTCTTAATTGTCTTGTGAATTTTTCTGTTTATGGTGTGTGTGTATGTGTGTAGTGTTTTTAAGTGTGGCCGGTAGCCATATTAAATTCCGGGTATGGTTTACATACCTGGCCAGTAAATAAA